TCAGCCGCTGTTGAAACTGATCAGTTTCAGCAGCGGCTGAATCTGGACGCCAGTTCCGACTTACATACAGATTCAACTTAAGAACAAACCTACAGTCCCTGTCTTGTACGTAACCCGGGGACTGCCTGTATAGGTGGGTTTTTTCATATTTGGGATAAGGGTGTCTTGGCAAATGGAACAGTATAGTAAGAATACAGAATTTTAACTGGGAACTCATGAACTATACTTCATCATCTCTTTCTCCGTGTCTGTGTGCAGCCTTATTTTGTGGGATTGACTGAAGTCAAACAATGTCTACTCCTCCTCTTGCTGGGACAGGGATGCCTCCTGGTGCTTTCTCAGGACCACAGGCTCAAGCAGCCCGGGAAGTGAACACAGCTTCTCTCTGTCGCATTGGCCAAGAGACTGTGCAGGATATTGTATTTCGGACAATGGAAATCTTTCAGCTACTGAGAAATATGCAGGTGATATGCAGAAAGATCTTCCCTTTTCCTACTCTGTTCCCTTTCCATCTCCAGTGTCTCTCTTCCTCCCAACTACAGGTTGAACCTCTCTAGTTTGGCACCCTTGGGACCTGACACATGCCGAACCAGAGAATTTGCCAGCCCACAGGAGGTCAATATTGTCTAGCACCATTACCAGCATTACCACTGTTTACTGGGATGTTAAAAGACATTTAGGGCTTAATTCAAGCTAAATAACAGCACAGAATACTGAGAGCAAGGACTGGTGGCTGTATACAAACTTTATGGGTCTACAGGAAACTTGGCCACAACCAGGATAAGTGGACATCCAGTTAACTAAAATCATCAAAAGGTGCCCCCATTGGTATTGGTACTCCTACTCCTCACGATGGCTAAGGGAAGCCAACCGGAGCATTAGCTCCCGTTGACCTCTCTGTGTGGATGGTGCAGAAACTCGATTTAAGATATGTTGACTCCAGCTACAAAATTAACATAGCTGGAGTTGCATATCTTAATTTGACCTTCACTGTAATGTAGACCAAGCTTTGGTGTCCCGTGGGTACACTCAACGTGTAAGACTTTTATCTTCATGTTATTTCTTAAAAAGTTGCAAATTGCTGCAAGAAAAATATCCTTAATTAATTTTGTTTTGTGCAATGGCCAATACAGTTTGATTTGGTACTGAAAATCCTCTGTTATTGTAAATACAGAAATGAGATGCTATTCTTAAATTAAGAGTAAATGTGAAAAAAGAATAATTTATCTGTGGATTGAATAAAAAAGTAGTACAGTGTACAGGCTGTATAATATTATTAACAGGAAATAATACAGTTGTTTGAAAATGTTCCTTAGATCAAAAAGGGAGGATACAAAAAATCATCTGTGTAAATTATTTTTCCAGCATTTAAATAGAGTAAAAGAAACCATGGCTTCTATGAAATTTAATACAGTTCACATATTCTTGAAATATTTTAACCCTTTAAGCTATAACCGGTAAATATAAATAGTTTATCTTAGTTCTCTTTTCAACTCTTAAATAAATCCACATGCATTTACATGAAGTATTTAAATAAATTAGATATAGAGAAATAATTTTTAAAATAAATATTTTCTGTATTTTGTAACAGTACTAAAACACTTCTCTGGATTTCATAGTGGAGTTCTATTTGTGGAAATGTATGTCTGCATTTCCTTCAATATTTGGTTTTACAGAAATCGATCTTAGGCTTTTCTTTTCTCTTAAAAACCACAGAAATGTGACACTAAGGCCTAGTTTACACTATAAACTTATGTCAGTATAACTACATTGTTCAGGGGTGTGGAAAGATTGCAACCATGAGTGACCCAGTTATGCCAACCTAGCTCCTAATACAGACAGTGGGTTTTGTCAATGGGAGGTTTTCTCCAATTGACATAACTACAGGCAGTCCCCGGGTTACGTACAAGATAGGGACTGTAGGTTTGTTCTTAAGTTGAATCTGTATGTAAGTCGGAACTAGCATCCAGATTCAGCCGCTGCTGAAACTGATCAGTTTCAACAGCGGCTGAATCTGGCCGCCAGTTCTGACTTACATACAGATTCAATGTAAGAACA